GCTAATATCGGAGCGCTGATATCGGACATTTTTTATGCAGTCCGATAAAATCCGATACTCGTTTTTTGGCTGATATCGGACCGATATCCGATATTGATATCGGATCGGGACACCCCTAGTATCGACAGAAATATCAGTCCCTTGGCTAGAACCTGGTAAAAACCATTTCTATGCACAATCAAGACATTTAAAATTACAAGCAGTTGAATATAAAACTATGAAAGTGAAAATAAAATTGGTTTAAAAATTTGGCAAGTCAGTGATGTCAAAATAATATTTGTTAAATAGGAGGCATAATGTGTTCTTTTTGTCTTTGATATTGTTGAATTATCACTATAGGGTTCTGTATGTTGTATTCATTATTAAATACAGCAAAATAAACCATTTCAAAGGTAACAGATCTTTATAACACTTGGTTTATTTACAGAATAACTTTACTTGCTGGATGTTCGGCCCCTGAGCTGCTGGCCTGCAGTAACTGTGGCCCCCGGAGCGATTTAGTTGAATAGCCCTGTTTTACACACATCCTGTTTTAATTATTTTCTACAAAGTGCCAGCTCACATCACTGAGGAGTTATGGTGGATTCACACTGAACACGTTTTGAGCTGCAAGAGCGGCCGGTTTACATGCAAAGTCTGTGGTGGACGCGCCTCTAGGGGTCGTGCGTCGCGTCGCGTCACGTCACGTCCGTTTTGCGTTACACGCAAGGAAAGCGGAAGGGGCGGCAGAGCATTTTCTGTGCATGCGGTGCTGCGGAAGCAGCCGACGCCCGAGGAGGGATGGCGTGATTTTTGATTGGATCGTCTTATCGGYGATTGAAGGCTTGGAATGCGATTTTAAAAAAAAAACAGCGATGTTTGTTAATTAATAAGCCAGGGATGTAAAATTATTTTTAAATGCACCCTTCTCTGTAAACTAAAATGTTTTAATCATCATCATTGTGATCTGTTCAAATGAGGGAATAAAATAGTTAATATACAGCACTGCATCTGTTTTTTTTTTGTTTTTTTGAGTCTGCGCCAACATTCGCAGCTCCTCTTCTCTTCATCTTCTTTGGCGCGCCACAAGCGACCCATATAGTGCTATATTATTACGTTTAGTTACAAAACGATAGGACTACAATGATTAATCAACGACTAATCGATTTATTTTTCTTTGTTTTGTTTTGTTTGTTTTTCTCTCCAAACTGCTTTGACACCTTCCACTGCCACGTCTGCCTTTCTGTCCTTGACACACATGCACAGTAGTGGTAACTGGGGTAGGCCGTGGACG